GTGTGATACAACCCTGCCCCCATGGACCTTACATTTAGGAGATGCCTTCCTAAAAAGGGAATCGCAAGATCAGAGGGAATGCAGAATTTTAGGACTTCTAATTTAGAAAGTTTGTGCCAAGTGGTGTATTCACCAGCAGCACATAAGAGAGCTCACATCCCCATATGCTTGTCAGAGTAACTGAAATTGAAATTAAACCTATTCTCAGGAGATATGGCGGCTTCTGGAAATTTCCTTCCTATGAAGGCCACCTTGTTGTGTCTAGCTGTGATGAAACTTACCATGTGGAGAATAAACATGAGTGATATTTAGTCAACTTAGTGGCATCTGGTCAGCATTTCTGATCTAAAATCAGAAAAGTTAAGTGATGGACTATCCAGGAAAACGTTTGATATTATCTAGGAGTTGAGTGCAGGAGTTAATGGGTAAGAATTAAAATGTTTCACTGCTCTCAGTGGCAAGGCTGGGCTACTTAGCAGCCCTCTTGAAAGTGCAGCGGACCCGAGTGACGGCAGCGAACATCGCTTTGGATCTGCAGTTACAGTGTGTGCGGTCTAGCTCAGGTTCTTGTACAGCAGGTGGCCGTGGCGGCTGCCACACTGGGAGAGACAGATGGGGTCAGGCCTGGTTCGGGGTCTGAAGGGGGTTTTGTTTTGGTCCCTTGGTTTTTAGGTTAATCCAATGGCTGGACCTTTGTTAATTGGGAGGCCCACCCTGCCTGGGAGGGCAGAACAATGATGTGAAGAGTTGGAAAGGGCTCCGAGTAGATGTTTCCGAGGTTGCCTGCCCACCACTAACCATTCTGAACGGCCAGTAAGCAAATACCATTAAGTCTCATAAAATTGTTGCCGTGAATTCTTGTATTTTAGAAAAAGCTGCAGACTGTAGTCAATGCAAAGAACAATAAATGACCTTTGTTAACTAGCCACCTGGAGGGAAAATGGAGATTTTAATATCCACAGAATGCTGTAAAGATGATCTTGCCTGTATAAAGCTAGGCCTGGAAGTACAGACTCTGATTTTCTGAACTGAGGAGTTATACCACAGTGATGTGGTGACAGAATAAAAACCTCCCTGCTTCATTCACGAGGAACTTAGGAGCCTGTGCTCTGGGTGAGAATCCCCACCAGTCTGAGATTTCTTCTGATGCCGCCAGTAACTTACCTTATGCAAGTTTCTTGTCCCCCAGACGCGTCCCACATACACACCTCAGCCTGCAATGCCATTTCTCCCCATTTTCTGCCTATCAGATGTCTTCCCTGCGAGAACCAAGGTGGGCTTCCCTTGCCCCAAAGCGCTGCATTTGAAAGAAACCCTTCTTTCTCTCTTCATGTTCACAGTACATTCACTTTCCTCTCTCCCAGGCATTTAGGGAGATTTGTTTGGATTATTGTTAGTTATTTGCCTGCTTGTTTATCATGAGGGTGAGTCTCTGTCTTACCCTCACACCCCCACCTCTGGTCAATAAGTATTTGTAGAAGTACACTTTCTAATTAGATTGAGAGAAGAAGAAAGCAGCCTGGAAACATGAGCACCTGAAACTGGCTGGGGAACTGAGTTGATAGTAGGGTGAGGGAGAGGCTGCAGCCCAGAGAGGCCTGGACTGAGGAAATAAACCTGAATCTCAGCACCCTCGACCAGAGCGGTCCAGGCTTCCTTTTCTCGGGATTAGACCAGAGAGAAACTGCTGGCTGATGATGTGGCTCTCAGATACTAGGAGAGGACAGCAGGTTACATAAACAAATAAATTATTTTATTTGACTAAATTGTACTGTTTCAGTCCTTAAGAATGGGGACATTGAACATGCTTAGTGGTACATTTTTTTCTATATTACCAACCTTTTAAGCTTGAATTTTTATTGCTAACATTGGGAACTTGCAGCTTAAAATACAGAGTTGTTGCTTAGGAAAACAAATGGGCATGCACATTTTAACGTAAGTGCAACTGTGTCTGTGGTGAGGAGCCACCGGCCAACGTGGATAGATGACTGGAGTCTGGAATCGGGAGGTCTGGTCACCCATCTCAACACCAGATGTAGCCAGGAGGAGAGGAAGCACCCAAAGCAGATGAAACCAAAAGGCAAGAAAAGCTTTCCCCTGTTAAGAACCCGTTATGGATTAGGCAAGGGAAAATAAATATTTAACTAAAAATTACATCTAGTTTAATTGGAAGAGATCAAGACAAAGGCAACTGAGGCCATCAGAGCAGAACCATAGTCGTCCCTAGGAGGTCGTGTGGGAATGAGCTTGAAAAGTTTGTCGACTTATCATTGGTAGGCTCTTTCTTTTTGGAATTACTTGGAGTTTGTATCTTAAGCTCTTGGTTTTTCATGGGTGTCTTTTTTGTTTTGAGCAAAGGCGGCTTCAATGATCCATCCTAAAGAAGTGCCCCCAGAAGCCATCTTACTGGCAGTCTACCTTGAACTGCAAAATGGTAAGTAATTCTTCTCTAGTTAGGACCGTATTCCTTCAAAGAGCCAAAGATTTTTGGTGTCTGCTTTTTCTCTTAGAAATTGAAACTTTGCTTTCTTTGAAGATATTACCCATCAAGTTCTTCTAAACAAAAATGTAACCAGGTAGTTTTTGTTATCTTAGAAATTCCTGCTTCTTGCAAGTTAAGCATATATCCTTTTATCTGTGAAAATTCAGAACAGCCTAACTTCTGACACTTAATTATAATTAATCCCTACTAATTAACCTTTCTCTTGGGCAGCCAAATGACTCTAATTGAGAACATGAGTCAGCATGCCAGTTGCTCTGAGCTGTACACTGTAGTATTCTGAACAAGTGTCATTAATGAGTTTTACAGTAAGCCAGTTCTTGCTGAGAGTTATTTATCCAAACCTAAATCCAGATCATGCCTCTGGGGCGTATACAGCCTCCAGGATGTGACTTACTAGAAGAGAGGCTACGGGCCCTACGTGAGAGCGAGCATGAAGTAGAAGAGAGATGTGAAGGGGAGAAATGAGAAGAGACAGAAACATGAAGAGTTCTAAGTCATAGCTCTGTTGATCATGGGAATCCCTACAAGGCTGTCTTCTTTTTATAGCTGAAGAAGGGCCTCGCACCCAGCAGGCCTTGGCCTCCTGAAGGGCATGATTAGGGTTAATCCATGGTCCTAGATCCCCTCTTCTGTGCAGTCTGCCTGTAGGCAAGCTCTCAACCTGAGCTATATCTTAGAATCGCTGGGGAGCTTTTAAAAATCCCGTTACCCGAGTCACACCCTAGACATCTTGGATCAGAATTTCTGGGCGTGGGACAGAAGCATTCTGTGATTCCAGTGTGTAGCAAAGTTGCAGACCACTGCTCCTCTCGATCCTCTTCTACCTCCCTTGCAGAATTCTGATGGCTTGCCTTGTATATGCTGGTATTGTCATGTGCTTTTTTTAATGAGAAGTGTTTTTATAGGTAATACCCAGCTGGCCTTACAGATCATCAAAAGGAATCAGCTGCTCCCTGCAGTGAAAACACTCTCTGAAATGAGAAAGAAGCCAGTGTTTCAGCCTGTCCACCCGATCCAGCCCATCCAAATGCCACCTTTCACTGTACAGAGAAAGTGATATTTTGCTCTTTGAAAACTGTTACCTGAGACCCAGGGGAGTATTTATGGGCCTTTTTAGTTGTATCACAGCAAAATGAATAAAAGACAGATGGTAAAGGGTGCTAGTTTTGAAGACACAATTTTGAAATGATTCTAACCCCTGATTTCTTTGCCAAAATCTTACTTAAAATTAAGGAATCACAAACTCATTTTCATCAATTTTTCTTTGATCTTTGCTAGACTATTAATTTTGAGCCATTGTGTGATGTATCTGTGTCATAGGCAATTAAAACATGGTCTTATCAGAACAGTCTTGTATAATATAGTTTGTCTTTCTTGCAACTGTTAGAGTATTTTGACATCTGAGATTTAGTGTTAAAGTTTTAAAAATTGAGAGAGCAACCTCAGCAATAGATGAGTAGCCAGTCCAGAAGCTGACCCAGGGGCAAAGGGGAGGAGACGTTGATGTGTTTTATGCCTAGTTATGACTAAAAGGACCAGAAAATGTGTAATAAAACCCATAGGGCTAGTAAAATTGGGTTAAGGAGAGATGACTGATCTGATAGGAGTCGTTTGCTTAAAAATCACAAATGAAGACAAACAGGGTTCAGAGCACTGGTCTTGTTCACCCTCCTACACCCTCAGGCAGAAACCCTGGTTCTGGAGTCTGTTAGCAGGGAGTTCAAGGTTCACTGCTAACCCCTTCGCAAATGCAAACAAAAATTTAAAAGCTTTTTTCCAAGAGACAGGGATGTGTTATGGTATTGACATGGCCAAAATTTGTCCATATGGTTGATTGCTAACTTTAGGAAAGAAAGAAACATAGTACAGACTTGCTTTAGAAAAATTGGGTGACCTCCTAGTTACGATCATGCTTGGTAGATTGATCAAAGCTTGCCTGTTAGGAGTATCCCCTTGCTGTCTCCATCTCTTCACTTCCCTAATTTGGAGACCAAGTTCAGACAGGTAAGTGTAACACACCCGCATCTATGAATCTATGTGGTTCCTCAGTTTCACAGCTAGAGAGGTGAGTGTTTGGATAAGCATGTGATTTATCTGAAGCTTCATCTGAATTATTCTGTTGCTGAAGTCAGAGTTTAGATAGGGCTATCTACCAGAACCGAGTGTTTGTGATGTAACTAGGCATTGCCCATAAATGACTCAGAGAAGGGGGAATATCTTGCTCCACTTAAACATGGGATGGATGTGCACAGGGACTCTCTAGCTCTTTTGTCACACTGCAGTTGTTTTATGCCCAGAGTAGATTCTTTCCAGATGGATACAGAAAACAGAGGTCAGGGGCCAGCTCAGTGGTGCAGCGGTTAAGTTTGCACATTCCACTTTGGCAGCCCAGGGTTCAGATCCTGGGTGTGAACATGGCACCACTCATCAAGCCATGCTGTGGCAGGCGTCCCACATATAAAGTAGAGGAAGATGGGCATGGATATTAGCTCAGGGCCAGTCTTCCTCAGCAAAAAGAGTAGGCTTGGCAGCAGATGTTAGCTCAGGGCTGATCTTCCTCAAAAAAACAAAAAAAAAAAGCAGAGGTGGCCTAGCTTCTTTCCTTGGGCCTCTCTGAGAAGAGGGAAGGACCCATAAGCTGTACTGGTCTTGGTTCAAGTCTGCAGCCTCTGCTTTCCCAAGCCCCAGACAAGCCAGGAGCACTGTGGGACCCACTCATATGCTGCAGGATGGTGGCAGAGTTTCTTAGCCTGGGCATTTTCTGGGGACTGAGTCCACAGACCTCATAAGTTGCTGGGACCCCACAGGGTCTTGGTAGTGTGAAGTAGGAGGCCTGTAATTGTAGTCTGGGACAGTCCGTCTTTGGAGAAGTCTCAGGAAATTAGGACTTTCCTTGCTTGCTGGTTGGTTTATGGGAAAGCAGGAATAGGAGTGAGGCAGCTCAGGCCCCAGGTTGCTGTGTTAAATAAGAGTACATTTGGCTGCAAGTAGCAAAAAATGGACCCATGATTCAAACAGAGATTGTTTTTCTCTCACTTGAGAAGGAAGTATGTAGGCAACTGCTGCCCTTGGTTCTAGTGCTCACTGATGCCATCAGGGACTCGGCTCTGTTTTCCATACCATTATCCTCAGCATTGGGCTTTTGTCCCCATGGTCACAGGATATTCCAGTGTTACATCTGCACTGAAGGCAAGAAGAAGAGGGCAAAGGCAGCTGATCTTGATAGGGGACTATCAGGAACAAAGCTTCCCCAGAAGACCCCAGCAGACCTCAGCTTGCATCTCCTTTTTCAGATCAAGTCATGTAGCTATCCTGAGGGGCAGGGAAGGCTGGCAAAGAAGTTACATCACTAACAGTGTCTGCTGCCGTTGCTGGGATGGCCCTGCACGTCTTAATAGGAGGCCAGTTAAGTGTTTTCCCAGCCTGAGAACTATATCCCGTGCCTTGTTGTCAAACTCACATTCCAGCAGCCCAGCTTTGCCTTCCACAGCCCACCCGTGGCAGACCCCGCACATTAACCGGAAGGTCCTCACCTCCGTGACTGTTTGTACTGGATGCATCAGCCAGGAAGGCTTCTTCCCACCTCTTTTTCCTGCCCGTTTGTTAACACCACCTCAGCTAACTGAAATAATCCTAACTATGCTAAAAGATTTTAAATGCTACTTCCTTGAGGTTTTTCCTAGCTATCCCCAATTTCTTCCCCCTTCTTGTCTCTTCTGATACATACCTTTTCTTCTGTGGTATATGGTTTTCTGTAGTTTAACAGGTATGGGTGTTATAGGCGTCAGCCTCAAAGGATGGCATCTTATTTGCTGGGGTTGTGAATTCTGAGAAGAGCCCCATTAGCTCCAGTTGAAGCTCCGCCACCTGTTCAGCTGCAACATCTGCAAAACGGAGCAAAATACCTCATGGATCCCTTCATAGACCCAGTGAGAATGTGGCTGCAGCTGTCCCCAGAATTGCAAGGCATGAACCCTCAGAAGAGCTGGAGTAGCCTTCCATTTTGCCCCTTGGCCCTTATCCCATGGGATGGCCCCCTGCAGAGCTTTCCTCCAGCCCCGTCCTGATGGGCGTCTAGGCCCAGCAGCCTCAAGTGGCCTTTCCTGATCCACTTCCAGCAGCCTGCACGTGGATACAGCTCCCGCTCCACCACCTCTTTCACGACAGCCTGCCACCCTTTGATAACAACATGCCCTGATATTTCCACCGCTCAGCGTCCATTATCTGACTGGTTAGCCAGGAGCACTGCCCCTTACTCAACCCAAGTGACTTTGAGCAAATGACTTGATCTCTCTTGAGGTCTTCTGACCGGTTTGCAAAATGAGGGTACCTTTCCTCAGGGCCCAATGTAAGGATTAAAGTAAGATGATGAATGCAGAGTGCCCCGGTAGACATTTAATGCAGGTGAGTTCACTTAGCCCTCCTGTTGCTGAAAGGCCCGCTCAGCCCAGTCACCCTCTCCACTGGCTTTGTCTCACTGTTAGCTCGCTCTCCCCCCCCCCATCCATGCCCCTTCTTGGAAGCCACCTGGAGAAAAGTGATGACATCATGGACCCTCTAGCCAGACTCTTTGACTTCAAATCTTGGTTCTCCCACTGGGACAAGCTTGGTCTGGAACAAGTTGTTTTGCTTCTTTGTGCCTCAGTTTCTTCACCTATTAAATGAGGATGCTGAGAGTACCCACCTCATAGGGTGGGATGAGGTTTAAGGACCTGGTCATTGTTACTATTGCTGGATGTGCCTTGAACTCTGCATGTTCACAAGGGAGCTCCATCGTTTTCACTGTGTTCTCTAAAGGCTGTCAAAGCAGAGGCCGTTCCCTGCACCCTGACACCGTGGAGGCCGCACTGCGGGTGGGTGGTGGGGAGCAGCGACTCCTTGAGGGGAATTACTACCTCCTTCCCTTTGGATTTTTTTTTTTCCTTTTTCTCCCCAAAGCCCACCGGTACATAGCTGTGTATTTTTAGTTGTGGGTCCTTCTACTTGTGGCACGTGGGACACCACCTCAGCATGCCTTGATGAGCGGTGCCGTGTCTGCACCCAGGATCTGAACCGGCAAAACCCCGGGCCACTGCAGCAGAGCGCACGAACCTAACCACTCGGCCACAGGGCCGGCCCCTCTACCTCCTTCCCTTTGGAAGTGACAGTGTCTGGTGCACAGGAGTTCAGTAAATACTGGCATCTTATGTTGTCATCCCATTCTCACCTACCTCGCCCAAGCCCTTACCCTGTGATGACAAGATGTCGCAAACCTCCCTGCCCCAGGTGCCTTCTCCCACCCTATCCTCACCGTGGCCTGTGACTGCCTGCAGCGCAGCTCTGGCTCCTGCCCAGGGGTTCCTTCAGGAAGACCATCAAGGTCTCTTCACGGTAACTGCTCTTCTTTCCCGACTTAGCTTCTATCCATCCCTGCTCCCTCCCCGCGGCGCCCCATTACACCACATGTGTTATCCAAACCGCCATCTCCCAAAAGGAGTTACCATTTCCCACCCCCAGGGCGTTGCTTCAGTTTCCTCCACTCCCTGGAACTTTCTCACTTCCAGTTTCACGCTTTCCACATCCTAGCCATCTTACACTGCCTCTCTGTGTCCCTAACCTCCAAGGAGATGCTTCATTCATTCCACGCATGCTTACCGAGGGCATGTGCTGGGCTGGTGGGCTCTTTTGTTGAGCCCAGTGATAACTTGGCAAATCTGCAGGCACAGAGTATGTTCTGCTCTTTGTCAACTATTTTCTTCTTTCTTCCCCTTCCTGGATTACAAGTACGTACTTTGAAGCAGGGCTGTGCATTATACAGTGTGTGGATTGTTCTAGATGAACAATAAAGTCTGCTGAACAGAATTTTTGGTGATGTTTCCTTTCTTGGCCTGGCAATGTCAGAGGACATACTTCTTTCAAGGTGGGGATGACCTATTAACATAATCCCAAGGTTCACAGGGCCTCAGCATCCTTGACCCTCTGAGCCTTATCGAGGGAGAGTTAAATAGTGGCCCAGGATGGGTGGGGTACTGGTCAAACTCAGCTGGCCCAGCCTCAAGTAACGAAACCCAACATACACAAAGCAAGCAGTTTACACGTTCAGCTTGCCTTCCTCCCTGCGAAGAACAGGGCAGAAATGCAGGCTCTGGGGTAGGAGTCCGGGGTGCCACGGGAGGAGGCAGGGAAGTTCATTAGCCCCCTCATTTGGGGCAAAGGGGATCCGTGTGGTGACAAACAATTGTCCTGGAGGATTTAGGAGGATTTGGCCAAGTGTTCCTGTGGGCCCCAAGCCGCCTCCTAATCCCGTCCACATTTCAGACTACTTAGGATCGCATTAAATGTCAAAGCCGGCGTTTAGGGAAATATCTACATTTCGTATGCATCGCCCGGGTCAAAAGAAAAGCTGAAACGAACCTTCGAGCATTTGGCGCGAGAGGCGCTCTGTGTGGTCCGGAGTGTGAATGGCAAGGGGGGGGCGGCGCCCTCGCGGCCTCCCCGCCCAGGAATGCGGGCTTTTCACATGTAGAAAATGCTAATGCTTTGTTCCAGCCTCGGCTTCCCGGAGGCGCGGAGGCGCCCGGCCGGATTGTCACAGCTGCATTTGCATGTGAGCGGCCCCTTGTCCCCATCCCCACCCCCAACTCTCCCCTCCCCCCAGCACAGCTTTGCTGGCGACTTGTGGGACTGTTGGAAAGGACGCCTGCAACTGTCTTCTGCCATCATTTAATCCCTAGCAAAGCCACAGGTAGCTATTCTGGAACTTTCTGAATGAGTATCCTTTCCCCTGAGGCACCAGGCAGGTGATTTTTTTTTTTTACTCCAATTTACACTTTAGATTATTTTATTTGAAAGAACTTACTCTTTCGGGGAAGATCAAGGCGTGGATGAACCATCCTCCAGTCCAGTTTCACATTTACGTTCTTGTGGCGAGAACCGTGCGTTTGATGTGACACTTTGCAGGGGCTCCAAACCAACCATTACGTGGCTCATCCTGAGAGGAACCGAGAGACCGCCCGTGGAGGAGGGGCTGGGGGGTTTTAAGCACATTTTTACTGAAAAGGGCCCTCGGCGCAAAGGGTTAAGAGGCGGCCCGAGGCGCCACGGCAAAGGCGCACGGAGCGCAGACCCGCGGGCTGAAGGCGGCGGTCCTGGCAGCCCGGGCAGCGCCGAGCGGACTTCCCCGCGGGCGCCGCGCGTGGGCCTCGGGGCCCAGAGCGCCACCTACCGGCGGCCTGGTCGGCTCGGCGAGCGAGCCCCGCAAACGCGGGGACTGTCAAGCCCCGAGGACCCCTTCCGCCCGGCGAGGCTCCGCGGTCCCGGCTCGGACAGCCACCCCCCTGCCCCCGCGGCGCGCCGGGACCGAGCGATTCCCAGGGCTGCGCCCTAGACAGGGGGAGCCGGCCCGCCAAGCGCGCTCGGCTTCCTTCAGGGACGACCGTGCTTATTTGAGTCTTTCCTTTTCTGTTCATTATTTGCTTATGTTTATTTAGTTGTATTTATTTTACTTTACTTATTTCCTTCTATTTGGTTTTTATTTATTTTATTCCACTTCGTTTTTATTTCATTTCATATTTTATTTTACTAATTGTATTTAATTTCGTTTATTTTGTTTTCATTTTCACTTTATTATTTACTTTTCATTTTATCTCATCATTTACTTATTTCATTGTATTTATTTTGTTTAACTTTATTTTTACCTTATTTGTAGGTGAAGGGAAAAGGTGGGTACCTTTTTCACCCTATTCTGAGGCTTATGTTTGTTCCTGCCTCTGAGTTTTGAGAAGCAGTGAAGACAAATATTATTTTAGCTAACTATTCAGGGTGTCTGTCTCATCTCCACAACTAAATTGGAAGCACCTAAAAAGTAAGGGACAAGGTGTGAAGTCATAATTGGGCCAGGGAAATGGGTTAATTGACTGGGAGGCATTAATATTTCTCCTGTGCTGACACAGTGTAAAACACTCGTTGCATGTCCCGTCAATGAGATTTTTAAACTCCATCAAGGCACCTGCTTTGGGCCAGACAGACACATTGCCAGGCATCCAGGGCGGAAGTCAAGCTGAGAGCAGAGTCCCAAGCCCAGAGCTCCAGGCCAAACTGAGCGTGGAGACCAGGACCCAGGAATTGGAACAGGCGTCATGGAGGAAGCGTCCTTTCAGGTGTGCAGACAGGGAAGGGGACCGCTGCAGGTGACTTGATGACAGGGGACATGTTCCTGATAAATACAACTAGGAAAGAAAGTGTCTCTGTCACACTGCAGACAGCCTTAGGTGCTGGCGGGAGAGAAGCCTATGATTTAAGGAAGGCAAGGGGTCCTTGGCCAGGGAAGTCTCAGTTCTCAGACCCTGCGGTTCTGGGGGTTCCATGGAGGGCCTTAGCGTTTGTGGCTCCCCTGAAAGTCCGTGTACAACATGGTGTGTGTCTGTGTTATTTGGGGGAAGGGGAGAATGAGTCTATTTGTTTCCTACCAGTTCTCTAGAAAGTGCTATGAATTGCATTTCTGAACTTTCACCTTATCTTCCTCAACCTTTTATTTTGAAAAATATTAAACATATAGCAAAGATGAAAAAGTGGTTTAACGTACACCTTTATGCCCTAGATTCACCAGTTAACACTTTGCCAACGTTCACTTTAGTGTGCGCCCTCTGCCTCTCACGCACACATACACCTCTCTCTCATCAATCTCTCTCTGCACTTTTTTTTCAAACGAACTTTGAGAGTAAGGTGCAGACACGACTCGATGATTCTTTGCCTCTGAATGCTTCAGCCTGTCTCTCTAAGACCAAGGCTTTTCTCTACATAACCGCAACAATTGTAACTCCCAGGAAATTTAACATTGGTAGAATAATTTTATTTAATAATTCGCAGTCTATATTTAAATTTCCTCGGTTGCCCCCAGATGCCC